CGCCTCTGGGCCTGGCAGTTCAGGGCCCCGGCGCCTCTGGGCCTGGCAGTTCAGGGCCCCGGCGCCTCTGGGCCTGGCGGTTCAGGGCCCCGGCGTCTCTGGGCCTGGCGGTTCAGGGCCCCGGCGTCTCTGGGCCTGGCGGTTCAGGACCCCGGCACCTCTGGGCCTGGCGGTTCACAGCCCGGCACCTCTGGGCCTGCTGCATCAGTTATGAATGTAAAAAAATTCCTTGATCCCTGGCACCTCTTTCATTACAAAGTAAGCCCTGCAGTTGGACTCTCTCCCTTCAACTGCTTGCTGCATCCCCTTTGCTGGTGTGTGTGTGTGTGTGCGGAGGGTGTTGGCTGGAATGTGTCCCTTCAAGTCCCCTCCAGCACTGCAGCCCCATGGCTGGGGTGGGCACCTGGACTCAATCCCTTTAACCCCCTATCCTTAGGGCTGCGGAGAAGTTGCCTTGTTCTGCTGCCGCCTGCATTCAGCACCCACAGGGGAGCTGTCAGTGCCGGGAGAGACATTAGCTGAGCCGGTGTTGGTGGGGAATGGGGGCAGGGTGGGGCTGGGCTCTTGGGGGGCTGGGATGCCCTGGCGGCTCCCCTCCAGTGCCCAGCGGGCGCTAGAGGCAGGACGCATCCCGGTGGCACAGGGAAAGGTGGTGGTTTGGGGGGTTGTTTCACCGGACCCCTTGTTGTTTTTGTGAAACTTTGAGGAACTTCCATCTGCAATCAAAGGCCAACAGTTACCGCACAGTGAGAAAACCAGCCGAGAAAAACAGCACTTGCCGCGCCCCCTGCGCGTCAGCTTTGAGCCCGAGGCCTCGCCCCGGATGCCGCTGGAGGGAGCATGCCAGCAGTCACTCACCTGCTCGCTCAGACCTGCCTGGCCGCGGAGGGGAGCGCCTGGGTGCCACCGGCTCCTGCCAAGCCGCCGCCCGCATCCCGCACTGCCGAGCCTAGGCGCCCGATCGCCGCCTGGGGAGCCCGCTGCCGCCTGGGCCGAAGGGGACGAGGTGCCACAGCCGGTGGCACAGCAGCGGGTAGGAAGCGACCCAGGGGACGCGCTTGGGGACAGGGAGCCCAGGAACCGGGCAGGGACGGCGGGGGGGCTCGTGGGGCTAGAGCCTTTGCCTTACCCCCCCCCCCCCGGTACCCCGTAGCACCCTGCTGCTACCCGGCAGCATTTGCTGCTGGGCTGGTACTGTACTTAGTAACAGCTGATAACGCCTCTGTCCTCACTTGGGTTTAAAATCAGGGGCTAAAAGGAGGCAAATTGGAGGGGGGGGATGGGCAGGGGGTGGAAACTGACTGTGTGTGGGGGGGTCAAACAGCTGGAGGCAGAAGAGGGGCTGAGGGGCAAAATTAGGGAGGGTAGGAGCTGGGTTAAGCCCAGGGGTGAGGGGCTGCCAGACGGTGGCAGAGGGAAAAACCTGGCAGAGGGGGTAACAGTTACCCCAATGGGATGAGCCACCTGCCGTGATTGCAAAAATAGCATGTGGAGCAGAGGGGGGCTTTTTATTTCCCCTCTCACTGGACGCTGTGTGCTTAGAGCAGGGGTGGGCAAACTTTTTGGCCTGGGTTTCCAAAATTGTATGAGGGGTGTAGTGTAATAAAGTGATCTGTAGGAATGTGCAACTTACCGTGTACTGTGCATGCTCAGTAACATCTGCTGAAGCCACTGCCCTTCACTCTGCCCTTATTAGCGGTAAGATTCTGCGGACTGCTTTTGACAGGGGTTAAAAAGGGGCAAAGGGGCGAATCGGAGCAGGGGGTGGCCAGGATCTGAGCAGGGGGCGGAAATTGACTGGGGGGGGGGGGTCAAGCAGTTGGAGGCAGGGTTAGGAGCAGTTGTATTAAACTGGTCCGCGTAGGAATGTGCTACTGGTAGCAGTTACAGATTGTAAGAAACAGAGCACTTTACTACTCTGGCGTGGCAAGCTGAGGCTGCGGGGGAGAGGGAACAGCAGGGGAGGGGCCGGGGGCTAGCCTCCTGGGCCAGGAGCCTGCCCTGCTCCTGGCCCAGGGTCCCGTGGGCCGTAGTTTGCCCACTTCTGGCTTAGAGGCATTCCAGTGCCTAGGTGCGCAGTTCCTCTCTATCTGATCTAACGTAGGGAGGTGCTGCTTGAGTCAATGGACTACTTTATGTACACGCCCAAAACCTGTCTCTCACATTTTGGGTGTTTAGAAGACTAGTTTATATGTCGCCATGCAATCTCCTAACTGTTCACAAATTTGTCTTATTTGCTGCCGTGATTCCCTGAGTGGCACTCGCTTCCTTGTAATCCATATTAAATATCGTTTTTCTCCTTTTAATTGCTTACTTTTAAAAATGTTATTTTTATTGCTCAGCCTGTGGAGGTGCTGTCTCTCCCTCCCCACCCCAGAGGTGTCTGCATTTCGGTCCCTGTGTCTGCCTCTTGCATCACCCTCGCTCTCTGGAAGTGCTCTAGGGTGGGTTGGTGGGTTGGGAAGGTACTGACTGCTGGCACGCCTGCTGATACTGATTCTGAGGCCTTCCCTGCAGCCAGTGAGAGGAAACTGATCACAGCCCAGCACAGGAACCCCCGTGTCTCTCGCTAGTGGGGAGATGAAGAAAAGAGAGGGTCCCATGGAGCAGAAACTGCGGCAGAAGGAATATACTCATTGCAGTGGAGACCCAGAAGAGGACCCGAGAAATCAAAGCATTGTTGTGTGGACACAGGCCATGGAGAGGGTCCAAGGCTTATATAGACGGATCTGTAATTTTATTGGTGGGTGTGACTCCCCGAATCCTTCTTCTCAATAGGGACCTGATCCCTCTGCTAGAGTCCATCAGGCAGTTTCCCAGCACGTACCTGCAGCTACTGTTGTATGCAGCCCCTCAGAAGGTGCTGATCTCCGATACGTTGCCTTCCCCAAGGTAGGGTCAGGTAATCATATGGCCAGCCTCTCTGACTGGACTTGGAGCAACCTGGTCTAATGCAGGGAGCTGGGTACAGTGCCTGAGAGATTCTGATCCCCCAGACAAGGGGGCAGAGGCTGCAGAGTGAGGGCACGTCTGGGACACAGACACCTTTCCCATCCCTGCTCCACTCTGTGCCCTGGTGACCTGGCACGCTCTGGGTAACTGCTCTAGAAGACTGTAGGGAGGAGGCAGTGGTGGTGGTGAAGTGGAACTGATCCATAATTACCTGACATCCTCCTATAGGTCCCTTATCCAGACTTGCTACTGTGATGTCTTCAACTAAAAGCCCAGCGAGCAGGTGGTTTGGGGAGGGGAAAGGGGTGAAGAAAAATATTGGTATATTTTGGTATCCCTTCCGATCATCTGTCTTCTCAGATTGTAAACTCTCTGGGCAAGGAACCGTATCTTCCCATGTGTTTGTAAAGCACCTATCACAACAGATCTTGAACCCGACTGATGCTGCACACAAGTATAATTTACGTACACCTCTACCTCGATAGAACGCTGTCCTCGGGAGCCAAAAAATCTTACCGCTTTATAGGTGAAACCGCATTATATTGAACTTTCTTTGATCCACCGGAGTGCGCAGCCCTGCGCCCCCCCCCCCCCCCCCCCCCCCCCCCCC